AATGAATTTGATAAATGGTCGCTTAGCAAACGTTACTGTTTTCAACCAATTTTGGAGATTGCTAGGCCCACAATCACTTCAGTGAACTAGTTGGGAATGATAACAAGATAAGAGAAGACATTCAAAAGAAGTCTTTATGACCGAGGAAATGATGCTCAAAGAGCGTCATTATACTCAAAAAGTGACCAATTCAGAGAGCATCAGGCATGGTCATTGGTCAGTGCAGTCGATATGTCCCTCACCGTTTAAGAGAACCGCTTCGCATACCCCAAACGGTTTGTATACAGTCCGGCTATAGCTGTGTATATCTAGCGATTCGCGTGCGTACATCACACAATAGTACAAAACAATGTTTTAACCGAGATACAAATTTTATTTATGGTTTATGTAAATGTGGCTGTTGTTGTGCTAACGCATTGTAGCAACAATCTTTTGAGAATGAATAGTAATCATTCGGCATGTAATAGCATCTGTACATACATGGAATGCCTTGAGTACACTACACATAATGTACGACCACTGATCTCTTTATGCAAACCGAGTCCGTACAATCTCGTTGAGCAGTACTGTAAAAACAACATACGAAGTTGATATGGTTTGTTTGTAATGCCTCATTGCTAGATGACCACCACTTAGGAATGCGCATTATATCGAGTGGAAAGAAAAAACGAGAACNATCAGTCAGCCCGTTTGGTAGCCTTCAAAATGAGGATTTTGACAATTAGTATTGCAGAAAATTAACGTCTGAATCAATCGGCTTGTTGTCGTCAAAGAAAACGCTGCAGTGTTCAAAAAATTTCAAATGGATTTTGAAAAAAATTTATCAACACAAATCATCATAAAATTTTCTGAAACCACAAAACAAACTTCAAAGCTTTAGCTTTGTATAGCATAACAATGAACTGAGGTATCTTCTCCACTATATAAAAAAAAAACAAAATTATTCAATGATAATCACACAAACAAGCTATTCGAAGAATGATACCATTAGTAAAATAAATTACTCGTCTTTACACCCACCAAACACAATTCTCAATGTATATTCACCAAAATCAATCTGATTGTGAAGTTGAGCCCATAGTTGATCAGTGATTAAGGTTATGCAAAAAAAGACTAAGTTCACTCTCTGATTCTACAACACCAGGAATATATACATAAAATGCAGACCGCATGAACGCAGATCTTTGGCCCACGGAACAGTGATCCAAAACGAGATCTAATAGCGCTCCTTTGCTTATCAAGAAAAGAACACAGGCAAACCGCAGTGGGGAACTCTTAAAGACTGGCACTGCTCTCCAATACATTCAAACCTGAGTTGGATAATTATTATTGGCCATCTCAAAAATGAATTTCANTATGATCATAAACAAATAAAAAGCAATGTTACCCAAACACTTGAAATGGCGTTCGATAGGAACAATTGACGATTGAATAATTAGAAATTAATACATTGATCAAGCGCTAATAAGCACCATCGAATTTAAATCACAATCCTAACAATTCAAAGTCCCGAATGAAGAAAGAAGTATCTGCATGACGGACAAAGACATCGTTACTTGCCTGGAGCGAAAGGACGGCTTATAGTCGAGCGAAGAGGAACACATTTCATGGAATTGTTTCATCTCCGTTGAACAGCCAATGCAGACATTTTTCTACAACAATGAGAAGGATTCAACTGTCACACAGATGATTTCTTGAAATTGTTTCTCATTAAAGCGTTACACTAGAGGGTTTGCATTTGAATGCCGTGTAAATAAGCGAGGTAGGTAATACCACAGGATCAATGGATTATCTTCACTACACAATAGTTATGGCTGCAATCCAATCCTGTGTCATATGATGTCAAAAATGTAGAAAATGGTATCAGCGTAGAATTTCTGAGTTTCTTGAAGCGGATCCAGATTGCCTTTCACTGACGATCGACAGCAGCAGCAGCCTTCTCACCTCCTTCAGTTTCAGTCTGCCTGAATTGATTTATTGAGCCATATGAAAACAAATCAAGACAAATTTAACGACTAATTTTATTGATCAATTCATTCATATAAAATGAAATGATTAATGATCACATGAATCACAGAAACATTTTAACTCTGCAATAAATGAGAGAACAAAAAATTCACAAATAGGATCATTGCTGAAATGTGCACAAAATATTGGTAATTCATTGACGCATTTAGAGATTCTTTCTTCGAATATGCATAATTCGTCACAAATTTGCCTAAAGAGTGCTAAAATAGGAAACAGTAACCGTTATGAGAATTCTCCGATTCTTTATTATATGAAATTCATCTGAATTATTTGTAACTTTCAAGCGCTGCTAACTCACAGCTTTGCATCAGAAATCTCCTAATAAACTTATCATGACACGCAAAATAATGTTCATTTAAACTGTTTAGGATGGACATGCGACAAGTCGGTTCGACAACGGTGTTTCGCCTGGGTTATCTTACAGTTGCTATTGATACGTTCAGTAGTTTTTAAATGACCTCCTGATATCTGACTGATATTAAATTGCACCGAGTGAAAAGCTTGTGGATGCTGAAAAGGAAACGTATATAATTGATCACATGCACTCATAATAAACATCAAGCAGACACTCTCACAGTTCGCTAGTTTCATATGTTGATCCGTTTCGTAATGCCGCACCAGTGCTGGTCTCTTTTGAGCGATTTGTGGCCGCCTCAACTGCATCTATAAGGAGGCCTTTGAAGCCACCTAATTCCAGTTTGTGCATTGCATACACCGTGCTTCCACTTGGTGACTGTACGTCGTCTTTGAGTTGTGCCGGATGTTTATCACTTTCCAGTACCATCTTTGCGGCGCCCATCACTGTATGTGCAGCTAGTTCGATGGCCAGATCTCGTGGTATGCCCATTTTAACGCCACCATCCGCAAGACCTTCGATTGCGGCGAAAATCTGCAAAATTCGTCGATGTTTATGAAGCGTAACGGATCATACTAACAATGATGTTGCAGGCGATTTGTCAAACAATTGTGATGGCAACCGATCGAGGTTCGGTCGGAATACCGAANCGAAATGAAATTTCGTTTGGATGCCATTACCATTTTCCAGTGGTGTTAAGGGACCAAAGTTTGGTGGATAAAATCCTTTTAATGTCGGCCGGAATTCCGACTTCCACATTCCGACCAAAGAATTTTGAAATTCGTTTGAGTTACTGAATCTCGGAATCTTAAAATATGGATTCGGTCGGATTCCGACCGGACCGAAATTCCGTTCGGATGCCATCACTACCAAACAAGAATGCAAGTTGATCAACTTACGTATGCTGGTCCGCTGCCACTGAGACCAGTGACGGGATCAAGTAAACTTTCGGGCACTTCAACCGCATATCCGACCGTAGAAAGCAGATCTTTAACGATGTCTGAATCGCCATCTCTGCATGCCGATCCAACACTGTAAGCTGATGCACCCGCTCTTACAACAGCCGGTGTGTTTGGCATCACTCGAGCCACACGACTTTTCGCTGGTAGAAGCTAAAGTTTTCAGAAACCAACTGATTCAACACTATGAAAGGTTCAGACCAATTACAGTTCGTGACTCTTTTGAGCATTGAAAATTGATCGAAATCTCAAATCTTTTAACAACAACAAATGGTTCAATGTATGAACCCTGTACTCAGCAACTTCATGATGATTTGAGTAAACAACGTTTTTTGACTGGATCTTGTATGTCTTTGACATGATTGAGAAATTAAATCTTCATGGAAGCAGTGTTAAAATGAACCGATTCAATTGATCTGAGAGTAGTGCCCATAGCAATGGAAATCAACAATTGATNTCTCGTGATAGAGGGAGCGATTTCAGACGCGATCTTACTGACGGTCGATGGTTTGGTAGCGATAAAGAACACCTCCGAATGATGAACAACTTGAACATTATCGTGAGTTGTATGCACGCCTAATGTCTAAATTTCATTTCGTTGCATTCAAAGGGGTTTTGCTTCTATAATCTTCCCATCTTGCAAAAAGTTATCTTAAAGTAAAACAGTTCAAACTGATTTCAACTATATCACGATTATGTACGTAAATCTAAGTAAATACGCATGATTTTAGGTGAAGAATTTTTTGCGAATGCTTGTAAGATTGAAGATCAAATGATTACGAAGTTCCAGTTCCTAAATGATTTGAACGTTACATTTATCGAAAAGTAATATCCCTAAAGAAATGATAACCAAACTAAAATAATCAATGTTTCGCACATCCACTCGATATCGTAGGATTTTTTACAATCGAGTCATACTTTATCAGTGCGCTAGAAGTGGCGAAAACAATTTTGAAGCATTCTCTTAGCAAACAATTACATGTTAGTGAATTGCATAGTGCGATGCAAATGCATTCTGTTCAAAGTGGTACTGCATTGCACTGGATGGTACCGAATACGGCAAAACTATTTCATGCGATCAAGTAATCTTTCAAGCCAATCAATCCACAGGTTCCATTATGCATAAACTCGACCGAATCAAACGCAATTTCTTCGCAACTAATGCATAGCGAATGTAAAAAATCAGCAACAACAACCTTCATGGCTTCCAGTAAATGTGTATCTCTTTTCGGACAGCTCGCCAGTATGCTATCGGCAGTGACACGCTCTGCAATGCACACACGATAAGAAAAAAGAATGCGGAAGTGAATACGTTTCAATGATGCAATCGACATTTTCTGCTTTTTAGGATTGAGCATGTTAAAGAAAATTTCCAAATCAATCATTTTGACAGAATGCGATCGAAAGCATTTGATGCACCATTAATCAGTTACACAGTAACTTGCTTGACCAATGATGTGGTATCAGGTAATATGCTCACCGAATTCCCAAATGCCAATTAATGCAATTGCAGAGGATCGAGTGGAATCATGTCTCAGTGATATGAGAAAAGCCGTTTCATCAAGCACAAACTATCCCCGGGTAAAAACTGTTTTTATGCTGATCGTGAATTGATCTGCTAACTGCAGCACAGTTCGTTGCAATCAGTTATCGTTATTATTACCTTATTTAAGACCCACTATTCTACGCTTTAGCATAACGGAATGTTTCTTATCTACAAAAGAAAATGTCGCACGCAAATTTTGAACAGAATAACACATAACATGCTGTGCACAGCATCAAAGAGAACAAATTCATTTCGTGTGGTTATCAAAACGATTTTTTGAAATCATTGGCTTTGAGTGGTTCATGTTTCCATTAAAATCTACGTAAATTGTATGTATGCAAATTGTTGTAATCTTCTACTACGAGTTTGTCTCCACCACATCCTCAAAACTGACAATTTTAAAAATAATGCTTTCAAAAAGTGTACATTCCGTTCGAAGTATCACATTGAACGATAGAAGAAGATGGCAACCAACTTGAATTAATAAGACCTCTACATAGGGCCTGCGCCATTTTGCCAGCTCCAATGAATCCGATCTTCATTATGCAACGCACTCAGAACGAATAATCAACCACTCGAACGACAAATCAACGGTGACAATGTATCGTTTCTGATTTACATGTATCATCGATAAAGGGGGCGGGTGGCATCATTTGATGATGTACTGATAGTGGTTGATTTCTTTTATCGTCACATACATCATTCCCCAGGCAACGCAGAATCACATCTCTGCTCGACATGCAGTAATGACCTCTGAAAAAGAACGCTCTCCTTATCAACTGCAAAACAACCCATGCCAACGTTATCGATGACCACATCGCACTTTTCACGTGCAACTTTAATATTTATTGACATTAATAAAGACGATTGACGATGTTTTTTGTCGAAATTCAATTCGATGATGTTGATAGAGATGAGTAGCATTTTGCGAAACATAAAAATGCAAAACATAAAATTGTCCAAAACAATTGTTGCTGTAACTACTACTCAGCATGAGACACCGTTTTCAGTTTAATAAGGTCACAGTTGTTGATTACGGCAATATGCGGAAATGCACTCTCAAGGACAGTTTTTATGCCACAATCTGATCGGGTTCGGTAAAAAATCACGCTTTT